AAGGGACTGAAGGGTCAAAATAGAGATTTCAGCCTATGGGTGGTATCTAAACACAGGTAAGTGATGGCTGTCATTGTAAAGAGAGCACAATTTTAGAGAAAAGAAAATCCTGTTAACCAACAGCTGATAACCAAGACATAGAAGTCAAATGGTCCAGTGTTTTGCAGGGACAGACGGCCACTGGAGAGCAGTGGTGACTGGAGTAACCCCATGTGCCTGGTAGCGCACTGTGATTTGCTGGCCCTGTTCCTGATGCTCCCCAAAGTAACATGAAACTGGTTCTGAGTTCAAGTCACTGTACACAGGTAGAAAAGGTAAAATATCAATGTTTAACCAAAACTTCAACCAAGTGTTAAAAAGTGTCAGTCAATTCACTGTTTTAAAAAATTAAAAAATTAAAATCCACTATGTTTGTAATCTAATACAAAAATTACTTTTAAATTTTAACATTAAATGATAATAAAAAATTAAATGAAAATGTTTAGTTTAAAATATAACTCAATTATTAGTAAATCTAGTTTACAACAGAATCAGGGAATTTTTTTATTTTATTTTAAGCTGGTTAATAATTCAGATTTTAAGGTAATTTATTTTATACATTCTGATTGAAATAACTTTTGTATCTCTCCCCAACCTCAATTTATAAAGAAGCATTCAAAGACAGATCCATATACAACAGAGAATATTTACACAACAGGAATGAGAATCCAACAATTCATTTTTGCTCAAGAGAATATCTCATAAGGAGCTTTATTTTATATAGCAGGTAGCCTCTGTTCCAAACATATTCTTCTGTACCCACTTCTCCCTTTATTTTCAATTTGCTTACAAGTAATTTTCCTTAGGTATCTAAGCTATTCTTCAGCATTACTTTATTTCTGCAGACCTAAGCAGCTCAAAAGACAGAATGATTCTTGGCTACCCACTATGAGGATGGTTAAACTACAGTGCCCCATTTGGGTTAATAACGTACAAGGTCACACAGAGGTTGTCAGTCCATGATCAAAGCGAGCTGGCTATTCTTCCTGTCATTTATATAGAACACACAAGATGTGTTTATTTTTACCAGCCTCTGACTGACCTCCTTTAGGTGGCATGGAAAAGATCCCACATTTCTATAAAGCACTAGTCAAAGGAATTTTTTTTATTTGATACTCTCATTAGGAGTAAATTTTTATTTTTTTATGCTTTTGATCTTTTTCATTTACTTAAAAACCCTGCAAGTTAAAGGCCATATTGTCTAACTCAAATTGGTATAATGGATAAAATAAGGTCAGGGCCACTGACAGATGCCTAAGAGGAAATAGTGTGCATACAATAGCTGCCATCAGAACACATGGGCTCCTTAGTGCGCTTTCCTAAATTAGTACAGGCAATAACATTTAAGATATCAAAGTTCAACAGTCAGTCCAACATCCTTGGTACTTCTATTTTTGCAACCTAAAAGTTTTACTCTTTTATCAATCTAAAGCACATACTGACAAAAATCTTAGGACAAAAAATTTTAATAACAAAAAAAATTCAACCCATGGCTGTCTTGTCACAGATATATAGAAATTATTTCCCTATCCTAGTTAATGGGAGTCTAATAATCATGGGAAGACAGAAATCCCTCCAAATTCTTCCTTGGTGGCTTGAGAGACCAAATGAAGTGACACCCAACTATTCAATACTAAGAAAATACTGGAAAGGGGAGCAGCAGCTGATCAGAAATGCTAAGAATTGAGACTGAGGACAGGACTGGGGTTCAGGGGTACAACACCCGACCTGCAAGCTCAAGGGCCCGGTTTCAATCTTCAGCACCAGAAGAAAAAAAAAGTGGCAAAGTGAAGGCATTATCAAGGATCAGATCTCCACCGTAGAAAAAGGCACATCCCACCTTGCTATTTTTTCATCTTTGATTTGGGGCAAGAAGCAACAGCACACCATTGTGCTCTCCTTGAATTTAAAGTTTACTTCATTCTCATGAAAAAACTAAATTAATAAAAAAAAATACACATTGCATAAAAGAAGAGACTGAAGGGAAAGCTGGAGCAGGTAGATATGTAGAAGAATTTAATGTATATTAATGTTCAGGAACTAATCCTCTTGGTTTTCCTTTGTCAGAAAATGGCAACAAGCGGGAAGACACCTAAATAAACAAGACAACAGCCTAGCAGTATACTCAGCAGCACTGCCCAAAAACTGATGAATAAAAAAGATATGACACATATATGCCATAGCATATTACACAGCTATAAGGAAAAATGAAATCATGTTATTTTCAGGAAAATCAGTGGAACTGGAGAAAGTTATGTTAAATAAGATAAGCCAAAATCAAAACCCAAATATCATCTTTGTGCACATATGTGGAAGCTAGACTTAAAGACATCAACCTATAGATATATAGGTATCTACCTATATACATAAATTTGTTTTTATACACGTAGGGCAGGAATCTAACTATAGGACTATATAGAAAGATAAGAGGAAGAAGAGAGAAAAAAAGATAATGGATAATAATTTTGAACATATTTCAACTAAAAATGAAGACAGCAGAAGAAATCTCAAGAAAAGCTGTTGATCAATAAAGGATCTGCAGTGGGGAAGGAAAAAGAAATGCAAAGGGTTATTTTGAGCAGGATACAATGCATACATATTTAAAGTATTTCTTTTTTTTTCTTTTGTTATTCGTCGTGAGGCCTGAACTCTGGGACTGGGCGCTGTCCCTCAGCTCTTCAGCTCAAGGCTAGCGCTCTACCACTTGAGCCACAGCACTACTTCGGGCTTTTTCTACTTATGTGGTACTGAGTAATCAAACCCAGGGCCTCATGCATGCAAGGCAAGCACTCTACCACTGAGCCACCTTCCCAGCCCCACATCTAAAGTATTTCAAATATGGATATTGTATGTGTTTATATTACATACAAACCTGAAATACACATAGCAAACTCCTTTGGTGTAATCAATACATACTAACAAAACAAGACAAATGAATGACAGGAAAGTAAAACAGGCTTGAACAGAGGAAAGGTACCAGAGGGAAGTGGAGAGAACTAACAAAAAAGGTGAACAAGTAAGTAGTTGAACAAAGTATTTTATATCCATGTATAAAAACAGAATAATGAAAACTACTGAAATAGTTATAAGAAGTAGTAAAATGGAGTGTTAGAAGAGGTAAAGTTATGACACTGCAGAAACTGGCTATCTAAACAGAAAATACAAAACTGGACCACTACCTAGCTATACCTTCCCCTTCTCAAAGAACTCAATTTCATATGGATTAGAGACCTAAACGTGAGGGAGGGGAAGCTTTTTACACATACATAGGAAAAAAAAAAAGATTGCCAAATTTCACATCAGAATTTCCTTTCATCAAAAGATGTCATTATAATTAATGCATGCTAATGGAAAAGACTAAAAAAAAACTTTCAAAACAGGAGATAAAAGATTCCATAAAAGAAAGTAAAATGATGAGCCATAATTGGGAGAAGGTACTCACAACATGTATAACAGCTAAGGTACTGTATAGAAAATTCACATAGTGTATTAACATAATAAATATTTTTAAGTCAACAGTGAAATGGACAAAAGACTTGGAAAGCCATTTCACACACACACACACACACAAATATTAAATCCAAATGGCCAATGCTGTTCAACCTCATTATTGATCAGGAAAACATAAAACTACAGACCAAACAGACCTTCGAAACCTTAGAATCCTGACTGTATCTCACATAGAAAGAACAGAGCACAACAAACCACACACTCACTGCAGGTGAAAATGAACACAAGCACAGCCATCTGACACTTGACCAGTACATATCCACAAATAATGCTTAAAATATTCATAGTAACAGTGTTCATGACACAGCATGCATAGAAGTATCTGGGAAAAGCTAAAACTCTACCAATAAAAATAAATAAATAAACTGCAGCAAATTCACTCCTTGAATTACTATAAACATCCAGTTGTTTTATAGTCAACAAAATGGACAAATCTAAAAATATGATGCTGAAGAAAAGAAAAATACACCAGTCCAAGTCTAATAAAGGAAGTCCAAGATAGGGCTAAACAACATATGGATTGAAAATTACTTACTAGAGGGTGAATTTATTAATAAAGGGAAGAAAGATTCACAAAATCAGAATAAAGATTTGTTCTTATTTATATTATATTGTATATGATACTATATTTCTAATGCTGGGTAATGTGTATACAGTGTTAAAGTTGTTATTATTACTTAAACCACACATATTAACATACATTTCACAACAAATCTAAGAAGGGAAAGAAAGAAGTTAAGAACAGAATAAGAGAATCTTAAGAGGTCTGACTGGGAAGAGAAGAGAAAAAACAAACGTATGTGGAACAAATGGGTTCTGGGTCTAAGTACCAATGAAAAGGTACAATGAGTTATAGAGGGTGGCATACAGAATGAGGAAATAGTTTACAGACAGACTTATCTAACAGAGTAGATGGGAAGAGAGGATGACCTAATACCATTTCCCTCTGAGAGGACAAAGCAAGAGACAATGACATAAATGCCAATTATCAAGAAAGACAGCCTCTTCAGTAAATGGTGCTGGCAAAATTGGTTAACTACATGTAGAAAACTAAAGCTAGATCCTTATATATCACCCTGCACCAGAATCAACTCCAAATGGATCAAAGACCTTGAAGTAGATGAAATGGGTAGAGGGAGAAAAGAAGAGAAAGTTGAGCCAGGTAACCTCACACTATGGCCTGGAACCACTTAGATCAACACAAAGTTAATACCTAACAATTCAAATCAGCTACTGGCTAACTTCACAAACCCTCAAATCACAGTACAAAAGTCCTCATTAAAGCCTCATTTTACAACAGAGAAAAATCAAAACAGCATCTCAGAAATCAAAGTTACACTTTTTAATATCAACTATTTATATTGATATTATGAATCTTTAAAGGCTAATCTATTGCTATGAATTCATACCTTGATTAATGTAAAATGAGAGAATAAAAACCTTTCACTTACTTGATTGAGTTTCTAAAGTGGTCTTCAGCTGGGTTTTTCACAGTGCAACTATTTAGGAGCCATAAATCTGCATCTGATGCATTTTCTAATACAAAAAAATAGATGCAAAAAAGAAAAGTTAAAACACCACATTTATTTAAAGCAAAACTACCCAAATGCTTATCCAGATTCATGGGTTACAGATTGTGGGGGGGAAAAAATACTGTCAGAGGACAAGTATATATCAATTCTATTATAGTAGGCAATTGTAATACCATGGAAATCTTCATGAAGAATAAATATAATAATGTGTGTTTGGTGATATATTTTTACTTAAAGTGTGTAAGTATTATCTAATAATATCTCAAAACAAAGTTAAAATTCACCCAAACTTACCTTTGAATATAAAATTCATTACCCTTCTTTGGACTGTTTCAATATTTTCAAACATTAGTATCAGCATATGCTGAATAGTCTTCTAAATATGCTGAATATTATTCTTACAAAAAATGCAGCCTGTCTGCCTATTGCTATATAGTAAAACTCACTGCCAATACAAGAAATAATGTTATTATTTTAATGTTAGTAAAATGAATTTACAAATACATAAAGTGTGAAGGCTATTATGCTTTCCTTAATAAGGAAGTAACACTGATTCTATATGGATCAGATTTCACCAGCACAATTAGGGCTCTAAAATGATATTAACACTGTCAATCTGCATCTCTGTTTGCGGGGGAGAAGGGGAAATTACACTCATGTTCACAACAATCCCAGAACACTAACATAGAGAAATGGTAGGAGGATGCCTAGAAAAGCATATCTAAGTCAGTTTGATTGATACACCTACACTGGAGATCTGCCTTCCAAGTCCTCATACCTCAAATAAAATAAGCGTGCAGCTCACTACCACTACTAGATGACTTAGCCACTGGATTGTATCTCTAAGCAAAGAGACATCCAGATCTATGTAAAGACATCATCTAGAGGCATCATGAGACTGAGGTGCCTGCACCCCTGGAAGTGAGGTGAAGATTCAGTTGTCTTCCAATATAGTACTCATAGAGGACTTTTATTTTCCTAAACTTCTTTAAGTTTTTCATTTCCTTTTCCATAGTGCTTAGAGTCACAGCCTTCCTTTATTGTAAGGTGAGAATGTAATCTGCATCCTGGTAAAAATCCATCATGAACCATAACTGTGCACCTTCTATAGACTTCTCTCCCAGAACCATGACCTTGCACCTTCTCTCCCAGGAAAGCTGTGTTCACTGAACCAAGCAAATGATGGTCATCAACAAGCCACCCACTTTGAGTGTAAGGAGAGAGACACAAAAGGATTTGTTTGCCTCAAAAGTTGGTTACTTTCTAAATTACTTCCTTACATACACCAGAAATTAACAGTCAGGCTCAGGTAATAAAAATCTGATTAGTACTCATGATAATCACTAACATCACTGACTACAGAGTCTGTGTCCAGCAGTCAGCCAAGCGTGTCCCATTCACTTCTCATGTAATCCTCCCAATTTGAGGTGGGCTCATTTTGATTCCAATTTTACAGAGTAGAAATCTAAAGCTTAGAAAGGAAAACTAACTTGACTAAAATTACCCAGTTAAAGGGTGAGTGAGGATTAGACATCCAGACAAACTGACTCCACAGACTGAACTTAAGGAAATTAGCATGCCTCATTAGTGGCTCCTTGCCTCTTGATCAAGAATAATGCAGATAATAACTACAGACAAAACCAAGAAGTAGTACATGGCCTTGAGGGTGTCTCATGATATTTCTAAAAACACTAAGAATCAGGCTTCAAAAAGTAACTGTTTTGCTATTATGTAAAATTCCCAAGATTATGAACGTATCAGCTTTTGGTCTTCTGTAATCAGTGAAGACATGCAAGAAAAGGAAGAATTAATAATGAATGTGGCACTAGTACCCCAAAGCACAGACAGACCCCCCCCAATCTTCCCACTCCCTGCAGGATTCTGCATGGTTCACTTCAACACTTGCTGGCTGAACAAGACACTGATCTTACACAACTGTTCCATTAGAAAATCAACCGGAGGAGCAGCACACAACAATAAAAGGGTCTATTCATAGATTTCAAATAGGAAGGTAGGCAGGCTGACACAAATAAAAGCTCACAAAGAACAAAACAAAAAGGGGAAAGAGTTTGATTGCTTTGGACCCAAACGCATTTTTTGAGAGTTTCTTTTACCACAGAACCCTGGAAGGCAAGTCCAAACAGTTAAAATGTCCATTACACTAATCATACCCAAAGAGTTTATTTACCCAATACAAATCACTGAGAGCCCCTTAAAAACTTGGGAGAATGGAGCATACTTAAATAAGAGAACTTAAAAGTAACTTTAAGATGCATGATGAAAAGTAACTTTTTGAAACAAAAGAAAAAAACCAAAAAGTTTTGATCAATGAATTAATGTTTTCCTTGAGATTGCATTGATCATTCCACTGATGGGCCATATAAATGGCATGAAATATCCATGTTCCTAATCTGGTTTCTAAGGAAATGAAACTGATTCACTGGAATATATTCTCCCTTATGCTATGTAGGGTTCAAATGGTGGGAAGATGAGGAGAAAGGAGCAGGGAGGAGGGAGAAGAAGAAGGCCATGAAGATTCAAGAAGAGAACCTAGAGATACCAGTCTGAAATTCTCAGGTGAAGACCTGGCCTTCAGCCTTCCAGCTAAGTCACACAGTTCCAGTGTAGAGGTATATGTCGTGAGCCTCTGAGTGAATAGAGCAGTAGCAGCTCCAAGGGGAAGATGTTTGGAGATTACTCCCTAAAGAGTTTGTTCTAGATGCACTGGTTACTTCATGGAAATACGGTGAGGAAGGACTATGAATCAGCTTGAACTGTTTGAAGGAAAAAGAAATATTTGTCTTTAAAGTGAAAAATACCCGACTGAGCTCCAGCAGTAACTACCAAAAATCCATTATATAGCTAAGTGTTTTGGTGATCAGCATGAGAATACAATACAGGACTTGTGCTTACTATGTACATCAATGTTCATGCCAACATTCCTAAGAGCCAAAAGCTGAAAATAACCCAGATATCCACAAACTGATGGATAAATTCAGTATATTCACAGAATGGAATACTATTTGATATGAAAAATAAATGAAGTGCTAAAACATTGATAGATCTGCAAAACATCATGGCTAATGGAAAGAGGTCAGTGAGAAAAGCACACATTATAGGTCTCTCTTTCAATGAAATGTCTAGAAGAGACAAATATATCGAACAGAAAATAAACTAGGGATGGGGAGAACAAGAGGACAACAGGATAAGAAGACTATAGAGTTTCTTTATGTGACAAAAATAAGTTTAAAATTGACTGTGCCACAGTTCTATCACTACACTATATGTCACTGAATTATAATTTCCATGAGTGGCTGCATGGCACAGAAATTATTACCCCAATAAAGCTGTTTTAAAAATCACTACCACCTAGAGCCACATGGTCTCCATTGGACTAGTTTCTATACTCGCTGCCTAAGTGTCAACTCATCTGCCATAGCAAACTCTTACACTCATCTTTCCCAGACTATTTCACACATCTATTTTTTTCACAAGGAGAAAGGCACAGGTGAATTTGTAGCACATCCCAGCAAACATTCATTAATAAATGGTCCTTCATGGATTGATGATTTTTAAATCTTCAGAGCCAATCTCTTGTTGTTGAAGAATGAATGATTGACTACATGAGCACATGAATGAGCTAAGACCAAGGAGCCAGAAGGGCATGTTAATGAGTAAGCATCAAGACCAATCTAGGAGGAAAACAGATTAGTGGTATGCAATCAGAACTCAAAACCAGAGCATTATTTCCAGGAGAAGCGGGGGTCCAGTTCTGATGTAGAATGTGGAATTTCTTCCAGAGGATCTTGGTGTTCTAACAGGAAGAAAGACAACAACCTCTCTTTCTCTGGGATATTTTATTCCAATTACAAACAAAGCAAACTGCACTAACTGAAATACCATAGGGGAAAAACTACTCTTTGATTTAAGAGATGTTATGAAATTTTACATATGCTCCAACTACAGAATAAAAAAGTAAAAAATAAAATAAAATTTATTGCAAAAAAAGGTAAGGAAATGCACTGAAATATTAACAGTAACTATATTTAGATATGGAACTCATGTTCTAGAAATCTTCCTAGAGTCTAGATGCTTCCAGACATGAGTAGGACCTAATATTCGTAGGTCTTTTCCCTCAAGCCTCAACCTGCCATCTGGAGGTTTTGCAGGTCTCTGGAGGCAGGTTCTGCACCATGGGCCTGGCTCATCTGCTTAGGATGATTCTTTGGAGTGCTGGTTTAGGCCCCAAGGAGCTTTTCATCCAGTTAGTCAACATACATCCAGGCTGGGACCTCACAAGCTGAGGCTCTAGCATTTGTCTTTAAAATAAAAATAAAAAAAAAAAAGAGGCTATTATGTTGCTACTCACTAGACAATGGAGGGTCCAATGGGAAAGAGATACTTTCAAAAATAAGAGAACTAGGTAAATGACACTCTAATGAAGATTCTCTAGGAAGATTAAGGTTTCTGATCCAGAAGGCTAACACAAAAAGTGATACCAGTAACATAAATAGAAGTTCTAGGGAGGAGCATAGCAGAGAAAGGGATAACTTCACCACCAGGTTCTCTTTAAGATCACCAACTGGTGACAGATGCAAGCAGAACTGTACAACAAACAGAGAGATACAGAACATTTGGTGACCACAAAAGTTAGCAATCTTGCAAAAGGTATGAGAACAAGGTTTAGGAGTACAAAAAGGTCTGAATGGGCTGCCCTGAAAGACATCCTGCTGGAGGGAGTATCAGGTGACTATCTCATTGCACTCTAGCATTGAGGCTTCTTCATTCCACTATCCGTTCACAGCCATATTTCTAACTAAAAGTCAATAAAGACAGGCTGGCCTGGGGACAGAGGCAGGACATGAAAAAAGAAGGTGTTGGCAGCTGCCCAGTATCTACTGCCAGAGCATAATGGAGTGAAGGACATACACAACACAGGAGAATGGGTGTTTCAGAACTTCCCTAGTAGGGCCAGGAAGAAAGAAGAGGATTTTTCTGAGTAGC